CGGGCGCGCGCACGCGCCGCCGCCGCGCGCACGTGGGAGGAGGGGGCGGGGCGGGGGCCGACATCCGGGCACTCGTTCACTCCCCCGCCCTCCCCCAACGGTCTCTGGCGCGACGCGCCCCGGTGCCGCCCGCGCATGCGCAGAGCGCGGCGGGGCGCACGTGCGAGGCGTGCGCTTGGGGGCGCCGCTCAGGGAGCGTTGTCCGTTTAAATCGATAACGTTGCGAGCCGCGTTGCTCTGCTGTGCGGGGCGATGGGCACCGCGGCGCCTGTAAGGAGCCGGGGCAGCCGAGGCTGCAGGGCCGCCGCCGTGAGCGGCGGTGTTGCTCACTGTGGGCATATCACTGTGGCTTCATATCCCACCAAAGGGAACACGCACCGGCATAAATAACGCCACTTTTTCATTTCTTACACTTCCAAAATGTTAACAACACTGGGCTATACCTCATAGACTAACACTTYTTCATTTAAAGAATTCCTCGTTGGAAGTGTTTTGGTGAGGTGAAAGGGATTATTATTTGGTTTGGCTCTCCAAGAGGGCCCATATTTTTCGCATTCCTCTAAATTACAAAATAACTGCGGATTTTATCCCATTTCAGAAGCAAACTAGAAACAGCAATGACCTGGAAAGGCAGGGATGAGCTGCATAAAGGTCTCATTAAAACCTGCAGTTTACTTGTGTCAGCTGCTGGGTAAAATGGCTCAGATGCGAGATCCTGGTAAAGCCAGTGTGCAAACAGCTACAAATAAGAGCTTAATTTAGTCTGTASCATCTAATAAATCAAATTAGAATTACAAAACAGTTAAGGCAAAATTGAATAAAATGTTTTTGTTAGTGTTTTTGCATTACTTGAAGAAAGTCCTGAAGTATTTGAAGCGAAGGCAAAATGATTCAGTAGATGTCTAAATATAATGTACTGAAACTGAGAAAAAATGGTGTAAACGATGTACCAAATTCAGGACAAGTTACTATATAAGATCAAAACACAATTGCTATTGACAAATTGCAATTGTTAAAGACAGCAGAAAAGGCAACAGAGATATCCACAGCTGGAAAGGAATTAAGATCAATGCAATTAAAAAAGCCTTTATAGCAGACAACTATTGTARTATCTTCAGTTCAAGGCCTTTTTTTCATTGAAGAAATGCCTTTAACATAGTCAGAAAAATTTAAGGATTCATTAAAGACATTTAAAACTGATGTGTATTCAGCTGTAGTGGTTAATTATCTTTGTTCTCTCAGAAATCAGGGTTTGACCAGCACCTCTGTTTTTGCACTCCACTTCTAAGTATAAACCAAGGAGCAATCATCAAATCACCTCGCTGAATATACTCGCAACTTGTTGAAGAATAACTAAACAAAAAATCTCCATCTGCAAGTTCAATAGTATATGCAAACTCCATATTAACAGTGAAAAAAAATATATAATTTAAGTTCTGGTCATAAGACTTTGAGGTATTTAAGGCACTGAAGAGAAGAAAAGAGACAATTGGCTGAAGAAATTACATTGTGACTTTGTTTTTTCCTCCAAGCACATTGAATGGCAGGAGTATGTGGTTTAGTCACCTTATTGGAATGGCTTCCATTATGAAGAATGCTTTCCTTTCTGCTTTCCTGAAAACACAAGAAATCCTTTTACTAGGATTAGCAGAGGTTAGGCAAAGTTCAGACTGCCTCTTCACCTGCTTTTCCTTTAAGTTAGCCACATGATTCAATATATTTCAAGCTGAGAAAAAAATAAATTAGCTATTGTCCTATGTAGCCAGTAGCTTTTTGTTCATAATTTTATCATGTAAATAAGAAGAAAAATAAAAATGTCTAATTATTGCCTCAGAACTCATTATATGCCTCCAAGAATAACAATAAACTTTATATCCATTACTTACAACAGATGCGAGTATAACAGAGGTAAAATGCTTTTAACTGATAGAATAACCTGTTTGAAAATATGGACCTAACTCTCCTTCTGTTGCATCCAAACTAATCTCCTGTTGGTACAAACTGCTGAAAATATGGAGCAGACCTTGGGCACAGTATTTTAAAATCCTCATTAGATTTGGAAATCTAAATACTTGTTGCAGTTTATAACAAATAAATATTTTATCATGCAGTTGTAAGCTCTGTATTTTAGAGAAGGATGGTTTCCCTAGTACAAAGTGCAAAAATATTTTATAATATTTTTGTTGCTTGTACTAAACCCTTTGGGGTCTTACATATCACCTGACAGTTCAGTCATTTGATTTTTTTCCAAGGGCTTTTAAACGGTTCTTTCCCCAAGCATGRAAGAGAGGTTGTGCAACCACCATGTCTGCTCATGGTTTGATCACGATTCATACCCAACACTTAATACTACCACATCCCATGTAAACTCTAATGAGGGATTTTAAAACCAATTAGTGTACACTTTCCAGTAAAATTTTAATTATCCTAACCCTGAGGTTMATTTGTAATATCCTTCTCAGGAAAGCACTTGAAGTCTGTATGTTCTAACACAAATAAGTGAAGTACTTTGTTTAAAACACGCAGCCCAGTTTATGTAGCTTCAGAGCTGAGCTTTTATTCGTGAGTTACCTTGACAACCACAATTAGCACTTACTCAGGTGAACTCTACCATATGCTTGCACCTCTGTACAAACAATTATTAGGTATCGTTGATTTATATATTAAGCAAAAGGAAAAAAAAWTTGTGTTGTTTGTTATATAAATAATATCCTAAAGAAGCTGATAATTCTTTAAATACTGATCTA